CCACGGGTATCGAAACCCGGATTCTAGCGTTGTAAGTCCACAGACATACCGCTGTGCCACTGAGGGGGGGGGACTTTATTAGAAGTTAATAATAAATCTAAAATAGCATTGTTCTCAGTAGGTTCCCTAAAAATTGTTGAAGAAAACCATCCTAAAAAGTCGTCTCTTCATCATTTGACTCTTAACATATCCCAGTCTATATGTCTAAAACTAAAATTTCTCATAATTCATTTAAGTTATTTATTTTACTGTAGAAATTCTCATTAATTTCATCAGTTTTATTTAGTGGTCTGTAACAAATTCCAGCGAAAACCTTCTCTCCTTATATCTAGTAACAGAAACCGAAATAGACTGAACCTCATTTCTAATAGCTCTGATATTATCAATTTAAACAGGATATAACCCACATTTTACAGAGAAAACCACTTCTTCCACATTTGTTAGAAATCTATTCCTATAAATCAACCTGTAACCTTGTATTTTAAATATATTTCTCTTATCAAATTTGTCTAAATTTAGCTAGGTTTTAGTTATTCCCATTATATGAAAATTCCCTTTTCTGACTAGTGCTCTAAAGTCATCTATCTTATTTCTCATACTTCTAGCATCAAAATAATATCACATTCCACATGCAGGCGCGTTATAAGGATGACGGTAAAATCTCACTATTCGGTGAGGCAGGGGTGTCGCTAGGTGCTTGAAAAATTCGAGGCTTGGGCCCATAGGCGCGGGAATTTTCGGCGTGTGAATATGATATCGATCATGGTTTTATATTTTTATTTTTCACGACACCAACTGGGGATTTGGGGCATTATCAAATAGAATCAGAGCATGGGCCCCGTGTGCCAGTGCGTCTCTGCGCTGAGGCAAGAGTATCCCAAGAGCTGGCGGTGGGTGGTGTTGAGTATCTATTTACCCTCTAATGTATTAGTCAAAATTAGGGACGGCCAGCGCAGATAGGCCTCGAATAGTTTTGCGCGAAATTAAACCAGCAAACAAATATCTATTGTTAGCAATTTTTAATATCGAACTCAATTCAGTTTCAAGCTATTATAAGTTTCTTTTGGTGTATATTTAATATGTCACTTAAACGTAGTAATAAAATGTATTTAAAGGAATACGACATAATGTAAATATACTGTTTCCTATATGTTTTCCCTTTTTTCTACTTATATGATATATTAATATGTTTGTATAAGCATTCTTTACCAAGCGTAGGAGTATTCTAATTAGTCAGAAAAATGAAAAAGTAGGTCTTATTATTCAGCATTATTTAGCTTAATGCTAAGCTTAACATATTCCACGGTTTACTATATTGATAATTCTAAGCAAGACACAAAATGGCTTTACACAATGTTTTATAAAATGCTGTTGTTACAATCATCTGATAGAAAAGCGACGCCCAGATCCCAATAGCAGATTGTAAACACTGAAAAAAAAAGTTGTGGTTTTCCTTGAAACTTTACCGGTTATTGTTGAAAGAAGTAATTCAATGCAAGGTGTGAAAACGAAACTAATAAAACTTGGGTGCCTAACTTATTTGTAAGTTTAAGTTTGCCTTATTATTTCTGATTGATATATATCATGACTTCTTTTTGTAAAATGTGTTACTTATACTGATGGTATTGTTATTGATGGCATTATACTGTACGTGGTAGTGCAAATATGAACATTAAGTAGTTTAGGGATTTAGACAGCGAGTTGTTTTAGCTTGTAGCCTCTATATCAGTGTATGTTATTATGTTGTCATATAACTTATAAGCTATATTAATATTGTGTAGCACTTGTTTTTTAGATATGGTTATAAATCATAATGTAAATTATATTGCAGTCCATACATAACTGTATCATGGTGCCTAAATTAAAGACTAACACTGTGCTACATCTTGCAAGTTGTTTAAGCTAGCTAAGTGTATAAAGAATATTGATTGTTGAGGAAAGAGATTTCCTGTGAAAGTTAAAAGTTTATCATTATTATTTGTAAACTGTAAATCAGAGATAAATTAATGTTGATACAAACATGATGTTTTAAAGAATTACTCCATTTTAAGCATACCATGACTCACATCTTACCTACACTGTATTATGTATATCTCATGCTGTTATGTTTGAACATTTGCCTAATTTGGATTAGTGATGATTGTGCAGTTTTGTTAAACATGTATTGGCAGGAGAAACATTCATTCAGTCTAGTAAATTGCTATGACTGAAGAAGTAGAAAGTGGTAGTCAAAAAAGCTGAATCTATACAAGGTAGAATAAGGGGTTCCGGTACAGTACATAACCTCTTCTCACACATATGGCTGCTTTCATTCAGTGCTGCTATCTATATGCAAAAGCTTTTTTGCATGCCACAAGCCTTGAATTCCCTTGTATCTCACAATCAATGTAGCTCAATTGTGTCTCACATGTAAATCATCATGCAACAACCCTCCACCAATAGGAGTACGACACACCCTCCTGATGCATGTGACTCCCTCTTTTCGATTCTACCAAACTTACACTTGTTAGGCACTCATCAAGTGCAGATGTTTTTCACTTGAGCTCTTTTTTTTGTGTTTTGAGAAATAGTGATTTACTTGACTTAGTTGCAATAGATAGTTTTGTCTGTAGTAATTTGCCATGATAACATACTTTTGTTTATTCATTTTTTTCTTTTCATTTTTGATTTTTTCATGGTTTAAGATGAATTCCAATGTTTCTGTTTTGAAACTTCTGATATTATTATTGCTACTTTGAATGCCATTACTGGCTTCAGATCGGGGGGGTCTTGACTATGGATTTTCCGGCTATCATTCATCGGGAGATTGATCATTATATGAGGCATCCTTTTTCTCTCCCAACAATGTTCAGCTTCTTTCTGCATTACTTAACCTATTCATGATGAGGAAGATTATAACAGTTTTTCTTTCTTCCTTCCTACCTGTGGTGTGCCTTCCCATGCATCTCCTACAAAATCTACTAGGCCTAACTCTGCCTTTTTTGATTTGCTTTCGCTAGTGGGTTCCATTTTTTCATTTTCATATGATACTGTTTCTTGTTTTAACATGACACCTGCCATTAGAGTCATTTGTTTTCCTTCCTTTCCCTGATATCATGGTTCATGCCGAGCATTTTGTTTCTCAGTTGAGTGCTGGTGTTAGCATGTCTCATCCTCCATAGACTTCTGATCTTTATGCTTTTTTCAACTCTTAGCAGGTAGTCACTTTTGCTCATCTGGGGGCTGTCCCTGATAATCCTATCCATTTCTTTTTCCCACCTTCATCTTACCTTTTCAGCTCTCTTACAGTACTTGTCCAATATACATCTCCTTTCTGAGGCACTCCACTGATCCCCTGAGAGGTATTTTGAGGGATAAACTTTCTCTCCTTACTCCTCATTGGCACTGTTGTCCTTTTCAGCCCTGTCCCTTCACACAGGGTTTCGTTGCTGTTGGGATCTGATTGGGAAGGACTATGTTTTTCACATGTTCATCTACCTTCCCATTATCTTTGTGACTTCCAGAAGGCTCCTTTTCTCCATTTGTTTGTTTTTGAAGATTTTCCAGAGTCTTTGGATTCATGTGTGGACTCTGCAATCAGGCACCTTTCCTTTTTCCTGGAGTCACACCTCTGTTGTCCATTGAAGGAAATTATTCAGTCAGGCATGCTGCCTCCACCTCATACATTCATCTTCCATTATTTTCATTGGGTAGCTGTTTCTTCCTTGTCAGGGTACTGCTTTCCAACTTTTGCTATCCTTCAAACTTCGGTTGTGGCTGTGACTGGATAAATTACCTTTTCTATATTTATTTTTCCCTCTAGGGGTATGTCCCATTTAGAATTTGGATCTAACTCAGTGGCGAGCATTGCCTGTCCAGGTATGCTTCCTATATCTCAAATCTGCACTGTATGGCCATGATGTATACCATGGCCTATAACACACACTGTGTAGATGGGTTGTTCCACAAGATCACTAGTGGGTTGATGTTGCATCCAGCTTCTTTGTGGTTCTATCTGGAGGGTAAGGATGCTATATATTTTTACAGGCGATCCACTTTGAGCATTGGAACTCGGAGGGTGGCATTACATTCTGGCTTTTGTGTGGTCCTATCCAGAGGATGATGCTGATTGGGACAACAGTTCTTCATCTCATGCTCCACCCTAGTGTTTTCATTGCCTGAGGCTGATTTTAGTGGAGTGCCAGTCTGATTGAGGTCAACCACACATCTGGAAACCCAACATCCAAATGATGGTAGAAAGAGATGTGACTATGTGGCAGGTCACACCAAACTGTGCAAACTGATCTATGAAACAAATCCACAACCAACCACACATCTGGAAACCCAACATCCAAATGATGGTAGAAAGAGATTTGACTATGTGGCAGGTCACACCAAACTTAGTTGTGGATTTGTTTCATAGGTCAGTTTGCACAGTATATCCTTCCATTCTATTTAACTTCAGGTGAAGATGGTGTGGACCCTCCTCCTACCATGGGTCGGAGGTTCTAATCCTGATACCTCTTGGTTTTGGAGTAGAGTTGACTGTCTGTAGATGGTTCATCTATGGGGTTGAGCTTCCAATATCCTGTGATTTGGATTTCCAACCCAACCGGTTGTTCTGTCTTTTTGGTTGTGCTCCTTCCACTTTCCTCCCATGTATGTGACACCTATTTCCACACTTGGTGCAGAGTATACAGAAGTGGTGCAGTCTCCCACGTGTGTTCCTCACCCAATGGATCACACTTCTTTGGTGTTCTTCAGAAACTTTTGAAGGATACTTATTTTCTATCCCTCACATCAGTTCTTCTGCCTATTCAATTAGGGATTCTAGCTATACATGTGAGAAGAGGTAATGTACTGTATCGGAAGTTATTATTTTCCTATACTGAAAATATACTTCTGATAAGTACTTGCCTTCTCTTGCCCTCTTCTTCCTCGCTGAAAACCGATGCTTTTCTTTTCTGCCTAATCTTGAAGTGATACTTTGGTAGAATCGAGTAGAAGAAATCACATGCATCATGAGGGTGTGTCTCACTCTTATTGGTGGAGGGTTGTCATCTATCAGAAGTATATTTTTATAGGAAATTAATAACTTTTAATGATAAGAGCTACCTTATAGGTTTCTTTTTAGTGGTATGTTATGGTGTAGATCAGGGGTCGCCAACTTGCAGCTTGCATGCAGCTCTTTAAAGAGAGTTGTGTGGCTTTTGGGCTATTCTGTGTGGCCACTGATGAGAATTATCCCCTGGTTTTAGTGTAGTAAGTCCAAAGATTTACTGTTGTTGCAACAAGGGACCTTTTTTTTTTAGGTTAGACTGTTAGGGCATATTGTGGCTCTTGTAATGTTTTGGTCTTAGACATAAAGAAAAAAATGGTTCTTCTTCTTTGAAGGGTTTCCGACCTGTGGTCTAGATGGACCAATATGTCCCTTGTTGTCCATTAATCTTTTGTTATACATTATCTGGCAAACCATTTCACAAAACTAGAACTCTGAATAGAAAATAATTTTTCAGAAGTACGAGTCTGTATCTAGGCTTCCAAAGCTTAAACCTATTGCCCCTAGTAATTTAGATTACACCTCCAACTTACTCAGTCCATCCATTAGACAGACCACTAGTTATGAGCAGGTTGTTAACATTTCTAATGATTTTAATGACCTCATTTAAGTTCCAGGTTTCTCCTAATACAAATAAATTAGCTTGAATTGAACATTATTGTCATGGTTATTAATCTATAGGATAATGTAAGTCTGATTGTTAAATAGTCACTATTTTTTATTACCATGTACTACTAACTAGTAGTTGAAGGTCTCCAATTTTCATCCACATTTTGTTTGATTATTTCCTAACCAAGACTTTTGCTTCCTATGTTTCTGAAGTGCAACCTATTCCAAGGAAAGTATTCCAACATATCAATTTAGATAGATGTAATGTTTCCTTGACACAAATGCAGTCAAACAAGCAAGATTTGCATTTGTTGCATATGTCAGTTTATAAATAGTTAAATGATGGAAAACCTTTTGAATATAAACAAGTGTTGCTTTGTGTATATATGTCAATTATATTCTGATGCTTATTTTTTGAAATAGTTATTCTTTATACAATTTATAATTATATTAATTTCATCTTTAGCCAGATTGGCATTAAGACTGGATAGTGATTTTGTACTTGGTTTACTGTAAAAACAAGCTTCTCTGAGAATTTAGGGTTGAATGTTGGGCTGCCTATGTTGTTTTTCAGTGTTCCACCACATGACTGTGGTTTAAGTTAGGTCACATTTTTCACATGAAACATCTGCAGTTTTAATACTTTCCTGTTTTGTTATTTATCACAACTATAGAATGCAGTCATTATCTCCAGTCACTTTTCATCCAAAACATTAGAATGAGCTCTCTATTTAGTGTTTGGACTGTTAGTGCTAGGATTACTTAAACTACAACCAAAATGTCACTGAATCCAGTTATTGCCTAAGTAGTATCCTATTCCATGGGTCATAGTACCCCAGTGAAGGATCTGTGAGGAAAACAGATCTTGCATAGTTTTTTCAACTCCAGCTTATTA